TAATTAAAGCATATTTGTTTCTATTTTTAAAAACAGTTTACTATTTTTAAAAATAAAATACAATACAAATTTACTCTTATTATCTTAAAACTCATTTTTTTAAATCTTTTTTCTCTATTCATTTATTACATAAACAAATTTCAAAATGGATATAGTAGGAAATTTCATAATACTTTTAATAAAAATAAGATAATTAAATGCATTTTTTAGTTCTTATGTTACAACCTTAAACAACTATTTTAAAGAGACTGAGAGTAGTACTTTGATTTTTTATATTAGTGATTTTTAACTATTTCTCTTTTAATCTCTCAATCTTTTTTCTTTGTTCTCCTTTCTGAATTTTGGTAATTATCACGGTGGAAGTTGAGGTTGGTGATAGAGTTACTCTTGTGGACAAGGAATGGGATAGTCGAAAATTTTAATATTATGGTGCAGGTATGGAATACGATTATGGTTTGGTGCACTCTAAATTACAGTATCTCAGTTGGAGGCTTCAATTTCATAGTTACTTTTTATTGTTTCCAATGTCTTTTTTCATCATTTTCAATTAAAAATATATATGGCCAAATTCCGCATGCAAGAAGTTCTAGAGTTAGTTAAAAGAATATGTAGCTTCCATTTCTATGTATTCTTGATTTGGAAGAAATTAAAATGATTGCGCTTTTACTAGCTGTGATCTTGAAGTTGTCAAACATTTGCTAGAAATGTGAACTGCTACCCTTCATGCATGCCTGATCTAGGGGTCTAGGACTCATGCCTACTAATTTTTAAACATTTTATTGATTGATTCAAAGCTAGACATGAGAGTCTATTTTGAAATGTACATGTACATAGAGTAATTTAGATTACTTAGAATACGGAGCTGAAAAATTGATGCTGAATCAAAAGTCACCATCACGGCCATAGCTAGCTATTACCATAACCATAAGTTTATGTAAAATTTGCTAGTAAGTGGAAATTTCTTATTGGTACACACTCTTATCTTGGTCTTTGTCGTTAGACTGATTCAAAAATCCCCATAAACCACAGGCCAGAATATAGTTTCTTTAATCCCTATAAAATTTGAGTTTGACCACAGGTTGTTCACTAGTAACAGGTTCTTGACATGCCTTCAAAATTGTCACAAGTGTTATTTTGGAAGATGGCTGGTTTCATATTCTCTTCGTATGATCTCCCTTCAACTCATATAGCTTCTGTCAAGAAGCTTCAAAATCTGCTATTTGTCGCTATCATCTATCCAGCAGTTAATCAAGTAATAACTAAGCCTAATTGATACAATTGGTTGTTGTATGTAGGTATTTAGAAGTTATTGTTTTGGTCGTGTTTGATCATTATCTCTGATGTTTAAGTCATATACGAAGTTTGCAGGCGTACAAATGAATAGGCAACTGCTGTTATTCATACTCTTTAAAGAATAAATCTTTTTGTATGTATTATTGAAATAGAGGACCATTTTCATACTAGACTAGTTGAATGGTTCTGGCTATAAAAAGTTAAAAAAAATATATTTAAACCTTAAATATAAGCATATGATTAAAGGTATGTAGATATTATATAATTATGACAACTATTTTCACTTTCTTGGGCGGTTTAAAACTGCCAGAAATAGGTGCTACTTTTTACTATCCAAAATTCGATAGAAAAAGATTGTGGGAGTTCAGTCCCAATACAGCTAGCAATTTTTGGCATCTTTGAACATTGTTTGATCGTTTTCTGGCCGTCCTGCCAGTGGTTAGATGTAGAAGTGCCACTTGTTCTAAAGACAGAGAAACAACTTTGTGGTATAAAACAGTAGCATAAAAACCACACGAGTTATACGGTTTCACGTTATATTTTGCTACTGCATTCATTGGTTTTCACGATACCTGAGTTTTATGTTCATTGAGTTATAACCATTGAATTAACAGTACCAGCATGTCATTTTAACGATATGATATGAAACACACACAACAAAAATTTAAAATATTAACATACGGGTATGGTAATATATATTTAGTAAAATGTATTTATATTTATGTATGTCGTATTGAATATTTTATTAAAAACTTCTATTCAAATCATCAATTTCTAAAAATAAAAAACATCCCAAAAAAATGTATGAAATATTAAAAATTAAATAACATAAGTATTGCAAAGATTAAAATTGTTAAGCAAGCACGATCAGCAATTGATACAAATGAAAGTATATTGTACGTGTAGTGGTATCAAATACAAATATAACAGAAATAAGAGTGAGGAACAATGTCATTAACGCTGTGAACGAAGTGTGGGACAACAACGATTAAGAGTGTGAAACATGTTTTTTGTTTGTTAAAACTTTTGTTGCGCCTTCTTATGTTCATTCTATTGCAATTGAAAATACATTATTCACAAACTTGTGAGACAATAGTATCTATTTCGAGAAAGAGGAGAAGGAAAGGGAAGTTGCAAGGGGAGAAGAGGAAGAAGAAGATTATTTATTATCCGTTAAAAATTAGATGATAGTTTAATGGAACAAAATTTTTTGCTTAATTACAAAATTAAAAAATTAAAATCACGTAATTAAAAATTCAGAGATTAAAATTGAGAAAAAACGAAAGTTAGGATTAGAAGTGCAATTAATTTTTTTTTTTATTTTTCATTCGGTTAGATCCCGATTTGATCGGGGCAATTAATTTTTTTCAAATACTATGTTTTGTTTTATTTAATTAGCAAAACTCTCTTGCATGTGCATCAAAGAGTTTCACCATATATGTATGGAACTTATTTTTATGTTTTAACAGTTTTTAATTATTTCCCCCCTAATATAAACGAAATTTAGTATATATGTGCTCAAAATCACCTCAAATAAATAAATAAATTCTATTTTTTATAAAAGTTTTCAGAAAGGAAATTTCTTTGTCAAAAAATCAATCTTTTAGATAATCTGATCATTTTAACTTAATAAATTTTAAAGAAAAGGTAATTTAACGTATTTTATAAATAAGTATTACCGAACTTAAATTTGTTATAAATTAGGTTATAAATTCTTGTCGAATGGTCTAAACTTTTTTTTTTTTTTTCATTCCTAATATCTATATCAAAGCTCAATAGCTCAAATCATTAAAAAAATATGTTTAGGAAAGCGAAGGTAGTATGAAAGGTTGTTAAAATGTAGAAGTGTAGAAAATAACATGGGATATTATGAATCAACTTTGACTATTGTTCTAGTTAACTAAACTTTTGGAGTCAGGTAAAATTTATCAGTTATATCAATTATGATTTAATTAGGGAAATAATGATAATAATTGGATGTTTGATTGCTATGCACATTAGGTAAAAGATAAAACTGATACTTGCCCACAAATTAAGTGACTATTTTATTTCCTTGGCTTTGTCCCATAAGCAATGATGCTGTTTTTGGTGAAAATCAAATCATTTTGAAACTAGCGTCATACTTGGAGAGCAAAAGTTTGACCTTCGTGTTTAACTCCGAAAGCATATAACTCTTTGCTAATAATTGATTCTTTCTTTTCTTTACGGTAGAATATAAGGAATCATCTTAATTAAATATTATGTTGCTAATTATTAGTATTATTGATCATTCTAAAGTCTAGGTGGAGGGTCACTTCTCTTTTCAGTGATGAGGACTTCGTAAAAATAATGGTGATTCTTTCCATGTCCATATTTGCAAGTCATGTGCTGACAAATGGCAAAACATTAGCTACAAGCAAAGTACGCATAATCTTAGCTCCTTCTCATTGCAAATAAGGATGTCCTAGTGTGTATCCTGTTAAAGCCATATTTATAACAGTAAATGTATTTTTTTTTTAAATTTTTACAAATTAGATCATTCAAGTAGCTGCTCTAGAATGCACCAAATGCTCTAGCTACACTTAAAAAGATAGATTAGATTCTAGGTTGATCCTTCTCTTCTATTGCACTTAATGCCATAATGATACAAGTGTTGGCTTGCCTAAAAAATACTTTACCTTAATACCTTCCATTTGACATTTTTAGATTTTGTTGAAACAATACGAACACTGCTATTTAATTAGTATGAATTGCTTCATATAAAATGTGACAAATCCTATTCGATCAATAAAGAATTTATGACCATGTATTATGGTAGATGAAAGTAAAAATTAAAGCAATCTTTAATATTAATGGTGATTCATGTCTCTTTTTTTCCTATTTCATTCAATCTTTGATTGAACTTATATGTTTTTACGAGCAACTTAGTGATGATAGTTGTTTCTACAAGTAACTTTTGTTACACTCAACAACTATCGTTTGAAAAATCGAGAAAAAGTAACTCATAAGATCTGGGTGTTAAACTTGTCCTAATATATCCGATAAAATCTCTTGTCATAACATTAATAGTATTCATATATATTTTTTTAATATAATCTAGTCTTTCTCAACAATATAGTATTTTAAAGATAATAAAGATTGCCAAATGTGAATTTACGAAGTAATACCATATTAATTAAATAATTAAGTTAAACGCCCGAATCAATTAATTAATCAAACAAAAATTAGTTTTTTTTATAAATTTATAAAATTTATATGAAACCTACAAAAACCGAGGGCGAAATTTAACGAAGCTCATATAAGTCTTGTATAAATTAAATTTCATCAAATAATAAATATTATTTTAAAAAATTTATAATTAAATTGGGTTGCTTAAAGGCTGAACTTTTTTCTTTTTTTCTAAATGTTTAGGCTGAAATTTAAATTCATAAAATGATTAGAATGAACACATGAGAAAAATGGAGAAAGCAGCATTGGAACGAGACAGGGTCCCACAAAGCATCCATGGGGCCACACCCGCCCGAAGCTTCAACTACTTCTTTTAACCGTTTGGCGAAGAGCACGGAAACAGAGTGAGAACAGCAACTGACGGATTTCGAAGCAACGAAAAAGGAAAAAAAATAAAATAAAAAGAATCAGCGATTTTCGAATCGAATCGAAGCACCTTGCGCGTTTCCATCTTCCCAGTGACTAAACAGAGACAAGAAAGTACGAGAAAATCGGTTAAAATGGGGATATCGCAAACAATGGATGCTCTCCGGCAAAGAGCAGCGTTCGTCAAAGACTCGCTGCACAAGAGCCAAACCATCACCGATAACATGGTCTCCATTCTCGGTTCCTTCGATCACCGCCTCTCCGCTCTCGAAACCGCAATGCGTCCTACTCAGGTATGCCCGTTCGCACGCTTTTCTCTCCTTTCCCCGCCACGAATGGCAGAAGAATGCGTGAACCGTTTGCGTCACACGCCTCTGATAACTAGAAAATGAGCTTATGCTGTCTGTTTTGTAGCTTATCGTTGAAATTACGAGGTGCATTGATCGAGCATTGCTCTTCAATTCTTCGTTATTATTGTTAATCTCTGCTCTTCAGTTGGACGAAGCCAGTGGATTCAGCTGTTGTATTTTGACTTGAATAGAGTATTATTTAGGGTTTTGATTTTCATTTCCTTGCTTTGTTATGTGGTAGATAAAAACGCATTCGATTCGAAGTGCACATGATAATATTGACAAGACTCTAAAAGTAGCAGAGGTGATTTTGGCGCAATTCGACCAGACCCGAAAGGTTGGTCTATATTTTACTTTATTTTCAATTGATTTGCATGTTGCTGCAGCGAGTGGATGATTTCTGAATTTGAGTAGTAGCTTGTGATTTAGCTAGCATCAACTGTTAAAATGTGGCTGCGATTCCTTTTGCTATGGTGCATTACTATGGAAATGTCAAACAAGAACGTGGGCGTTCCTTTCATGTTTATGAATCGTGTCATGTTTACTGTTGTATTATTCTGCCTATCTAATGTCTATGGACTTCCTGACATTAAGCATTTAAATAATACTAGGATTGATTCATGAACTGTCTCCTATTTTTTGTTTTGAGCTATGCATGGAAAATTGAAGGCGCAAAAGTAAAGAAAGTTGAGTCAGGCAGTTGATAGCATCAGAGAGTCTTTTATCAGAATATTTCTGTTATGATGTTCAAGTACAATTTCAAAATGCTCTACTAAGTTTCAATTTAATCGTTAGCCGAAAAATAAATTTTTTTGCTAGTTTAATGTATTTTTTTGTGTATCCAGAGTCAAATATGATAATGATACCCTTTGTTTTCCGGTTTGATTGCCCTGCCACCTTTCATAACCTCTTCTTGTCCAACATTTTGTTTATTTTGCATAAAGTTCAGTGTCCAACTTCCAGATAAATTTCTTATATGTTGGTCTTCTTTAAATTGCATCTATAACTGAAATCATGTGCATTTTTGAGTGATTGATAAATATAGTGTATTATATGGTGATTTTTAAAATTTAATTAAATTAGTAGAAGATGCTAATAACATTTTATGATTTCTGTTAGGCTGAGGCTAAAATACTGCGAGGGCCACATGAGGATCTAGAAAGCTATTTAGAAGCAATTGATCAGCTGAGAGCAAATGTTCGTTTCTTCAGCAGCAAAACGAGTTTCAAAAGTAGTGAGAGTATTGTCAACCATGCCAACAGCTTGCTTACCAAAGCTATCTCAAAGCTAGAAGACGAGTTCAGACATCTTTTGACAAACTACAGGTTGGTCTTCTCAAATTTGAATTTCTGCTTTTCTTTTCAATATACATTACATGTGTTTATGTTAGCATTATATTATACTCTTAATTTATCTTTTTATTTTTCCGTCCTTCTAAGCATTAACTGGCGCATTCTAATGCCTCTGTCTTGGTTAGATCATCACCATTTCTATGGTTTGTGTTCCTAACAACTGTTACCTTAGTTTTTTCCATATACATAGTAATTAAATTATAGTAATTTTAAAATCTTATTCATGTAGACATGAATCTTGTTTGCATCTGTTGAAATTAATATATGCAAATAAGGTAATTGCGTCGATAGCATAACCGTAGATACCGTGATCTTCGATGACAAAATATCATGTAATATTATGCACTATTATAAATAAATAGCTCCGCTGTGTATTGAAACACAGATTCATCCTATATCTCTCATTTCTCTCTGAATATTATGCACAGATTCATCCTATATATATATATATATATCAAAAACCTTGTTTCCTCCAAGGTTTCTGGGCTTTTCAGTCATCTTCCTACCTTTTCTGACACGTTTTGACTCTGTTCACATTCTATCTCTCTCCTCCGAACTGCTTATGGCTGCAGCCACGTTCCCAAAGCTAAACCTACCATCTTTACCAACCACGCAACTAATTATCTGTCTATTCAGCAATTGGATGGTAAAAATTCTACCACTTTTGAGCTTCAAATATTCATCTTTGATTTGTTGGGAAAGAGTACAATGAGCATCTAACCATGAAGGCTGAAACTATTGCCAAGGCTAATCGCCCTCGTTGGAAGAACTAAAGAAGATTAACACTTAACTTTGTTACATTATTAAGGCTACTATTCATCCCTTTTTTCCACATGTTTTCCATGCCCACAAGACATGTGAAGCTATATGGACTCGGGCAAAGTCTCTTGATACCAATAACACTCAACAACTTTACAAAGCATTTTATGACCTTATGACTATTATTGGTGCTCGATCTCTTGATTCCATGCAAGGTAGTCAAAATTGAGATCTTACATAGGATTATAAAGGTTAAAGACACAAATCGTGTAATTGTAACACGAATGGTAAGATCTACTTAAAATATAAAATAGTTTTGAATTCATATATATAATGCATAAAAATTAATAAAAATAAGACAAAATAACCTTAAATTTCTAACAGCCACAAACTTTTAAGTCACAACAATTCCAAATTCAAAAGCTCAACCAATAGCATCATCCTAGCTGCTTACAACTCTAGCAGCTGCTTTCTTACTTTAAAGACTTTTGTAAATAACTAAACAGATTAAAAGAGTGTAACTTAGCAGAGATCAAAAACTTGAATCTAGGGTCCCAAATAGTGTAGCAACTCAAACAAAGCATGGAGTATTTGAATCCACAAGAAAATTAATTAAGAGTTCAACCCAGAAGCAAAAAGTGAATAAGGCCAACCCAAAAGTAGAAAAACCAAGAAGGGGTTTAGAACTTTTGTGTGCACAAGAGCAAAAAAAAAAAGGTGAAGAAAAGTGCCAAAATGAATTAGTTAAAGTCTTGTCTTATGAGCCAATTAAAAATGGGTCAGATTTCTTGGTTTTCCAAAAAGAAAGGAGTTTTAGTAGGATCAAAAAAATTGGGATTGCTTAGGCATGAGAAAATCTTAAAATCGTACGATTTTACATGTAAAATTGCAATTTTAAGTACCATGATTCTATGGCTACCTATTTGGGTCGAGTCTCTAGTCTCCATCATGATTTCAATGAGCTCTTACCTCATGTTGACAAAATTGGCAAAGAGCTCGAGCAATGCCAACAATTCTTTTTATTATTGTCCTTGTATGGTTTACCTAAGAGTTACTTGAATAATCACAGTCAGATCTTGAGTTGTTCCAATGTTCCTACACTAGATACTACTTGGATCATCCTGCTTCATGTTCCAGCTAAGACATCTATCCAAGTTGCTCCTTCTCCCGTGAATTCCTCTATTCTAATGTCTCATCAAGGTTATTGCACTCATTCTCACAACTTGGAAAATCATGCCCTAGGTGTGACCTTTGTTACAAGCTTGGTCATACTATTGTTCGATGCTATAATCTTCATGGTTGCCCTCCTTGCATGCGCAATGTCGGTTACTCCTCTTCACAAGTTCCTTTTGACTTTGTTGGATTACTACCTGCTTTTTAGGCGTTGTTTGAATCTTATGATTATTGTTCAATTGCGCAAACTAGTAATTCCTTTACCAACATCCCCCATTCTCCTTCTTTTGGTCCTTGTATTCTTGAATTTGGGGCCATCAATCACATTAGTGGTAATAAATATTTTTTCTCTATTCTTTGTTTTTCTGATTCTTTATTCTCTATAACTATGACTAATGGTTCCCAAACATGACCTAAAGATATTGACAATGTATCAATTCTTCCATTTGTTTCCATTGATAATGTCATGGGTCTCCCTTAATTTTCTCTTTATTCATTGTCTTACTCGTTCCTTTAATTGTGTTGTTTCACAATCTTTTCACACATAATAGTCAATAGCAACTGCTATCCCGAAGGTGCGGAGCAAAGCAGCTGGGTGCTGCTATTCCATCACTGTTGCGTTTCAGTGTAGTAGTCATTAAGTCGCGGATCGCTTCAAAAAGCAGAGCAAATTGTGGCCCTAGTGGTCACTATTTCATCCTAGGGCAAAGGGCAAATTTGTCCTTCCATTTTGAAGGTTGAAATGCTTTTTAAGGGGAACAATTTTAGGATTTTGCACCTTTTATATGTCAAATAGGGGCAAAAGGACAAATTTTTTCTTTTTGAAAGTTGGAATGCTTTTTAAAGGGAGCAATCTTGGAATTTTGCTCCCTTTTATATTTCTGAAAGTCGTAACCCTACCTTGATCTCTGTTCTCTTTTCTCTTGCTTCATCCTCCATCTCTAGCATCACTTTCTAGTGCAAGTTACCATTTCCAGCCAAGTTTTGATCATCTTTGTCGAAACCTAAGTTATTTCTAACATGAATAGAGACATTTTTCGATTATCTTCTTCATCTTTGGTGTAACCTAAGCTATTTCTAACAAAATGTAAATTTTTTTCAATGATAGTGAGACATTTTCCAGTGAGATCATTTGCGTTAGAGCTTTTTTTATGACGGAACACTCCTTGATCTGTTTTTCTTTTTGTTTTGATTGTCTTCAGAATAACGATCATCTCACTATCTGCTATCCCACTATAGCATTTTTGGAGTTGACTAATTTGCGCTACTATCTAAGATTGATTAGTATGTTTTTACAATGAAATATTAACACCATTTGACATTTTTATTTATACTTTACAAAGTGATAATATCAAAGAATACTTGTGTTCTTCCTTTCATAGTTTCATGAACTCACATGAGATTCTTCATTAGACATCTTATCCTCTTATTCCTTAACAAAATAGGGTTGTTGAACATAAAAATAAACATTTTTTTAAGACTGCTCATATCCCTTTATTTCATGCTCATGTTTCTCATGGTTTTTGAAGTGATGTCATCCTTACTACCTGTTACCTCATCAATAGGATGTTTTCATCTTATTTAGGCAAGAAAATATCTTAACAAGTCTTGTATCCACATTAACCTCTTCATCTCTTGTCTTCTTGAGTCTTTGGTTCCGCTTGTTTCGTTCACAATGTAAGTCTTAGTTATGACAAACTCTTTGCTCATTCCCACAAATGTGTTTTCTTTAGTTATATTTGGTCAAAAAAATGATATAAGTGTTACTTTCCTAATCTTCAATATTATTTTATATCCTATGATATCTTTTTTTAATATGACATGTTTTATAATTCCATGTCTTCTTTTTAAGTCTTCAAATGATTACTTGCTGATTTTTGTTCATTTTTTTCTCTTTTTGAAGTTTCCAACACCATATGCTTCACTAGCTCTACCTTCAAAACATCACCATCATATTACTTTGTCTATTAACTCACCTTCAGTGCCACTTTATTTGTCTCCTCTTGCCTTGCTTCCTTAGTTAGTCTTTCCCACTGTGATTTGTAAAGGTATATATACATTCTACTCATAATCCCCGTCATCACTATGTTAATATCAGTTATCATTGTTTATCTTCTTTTCATTACACTTGTTTTTTTTTTTTTTTCTGTTTCCATTCTTTAATTTACATGTGATGCCCTTGCTCATTTTGGCTGGAGAAACTTGTCGTTGGTTGTCGATGGATTTGCCCTATTTAAGTTGGTCCTTATGGCAAAGTAGATTGAATAAAAGCTTGTCTTATAGCCAAAGGTTACACTCAAATTTTGGCTTGGACTGTGGTGATACATTCTCTCTTATAATTAATGTGCCCTCTAATCGCTTTTTTTATCTATGGCAACCATTTGTCATTAGCCTATTTATCAATTGGACATCAAGAATACTTTCTTACATGTAAATCTTTTGGAAGAAGTCTATATGGAGCAACCGCTTGATTTCGTTGCTTAGGGATAATTTTCAGGACTAGTTTATCAACTACAAAAATCTCTATATGGTCTTAAACAATCTCTTTGGGCATTGTTTGACAAGTTTAGTACTATGGTTCAACAAATCAACATGACTTGGAGGGAAGCTGATCACTTGGTCTTCTATTGCCATTCTTCCGCAGGATGCTTTCACCTCATTGTCTATGTAAACGACATTGTCAACATGGATAGTTACCACCATGGAATTTCATAGGTGAAACAACATCTATGTCATCACTTCCAAACAAAAGATTTTAGCAAACTTAAATACTTCTTGAGGATAGAAATAACTAAGTTTAAAAATAGTATTGTAATTTTTCAAAGAAAGCATGTCATGAACATTCTATAAGAGACAAGGTTCACGAGTGTCAAATCCATTGATACTCCTATGGATCCTAATATCAAACTTATAGCAAAATAAGAGGAGCCTCTTGCGAATCTAAAGAAATATAAAAGGCTTGTTGAGAAATTAAATTATCTCATTTTTACTCATCCTTAAATGTTATCTCTTTTATTATGAGTATGGTGAATCGATTTCTCAACTCTCCTTGTGAGGAATATTGGGATGCTATTATTTGTATCATAAAATAAATCAAAGAAGATTTAAGGAAAGCCTTTTTATAGAAGATAGAGGATACACTTGAATTGTGGGATATTCATGAGAATTGGGTAGGCTCTTCTATAGATAGGGGATCAACTTCTTGGTAACATGTTTTCAATGGTAACAACTTAATCTCTTGTTAAAGCAAGAAACAAAGCATTGTTGCACAATCAAGCACAAAAGAAGAATACCAAGCTATGACTTCAACCACTTGTAAGCTAATATAGCTCAAACATCTACTGAAGGAATTGACGTTTGGAGAGAACACACTAATGACTAGTCTTCATATTGCCTCAAACCCAATTTTTCACGAGAGCACCAAGCACATTCAGCTAGATTGTCACTTCAATAGAGAAATGATCTTATTCGGAGATACTGTTACTCAATCCATTAACTCTAATGATCAATTGATAGATATTTTTACTTAATCATTAAAGGGGTCTCATATCAATTATATATTTAACAAGTCTGATATATATGATTTATATGCTCCAGCTTAAGGGAGAGTGTTGAGATTAATGTATACAAATAAGCTAACTATGCAAATAAAGTACCTGCGTAGATAGTGTGATTGTAGATGTCATGATATTAGGAAAAAGAATATCGTGTAAATATTTAATTATTATGCACTATTATAAATAGATAGCTCCGTTGTGTATTCCAACATATAGATTCATCTTATGTCTTCTTGTTTCTCTCTTTTTCAATAGCATTCTTATATTGATGTGTGCAATGTCTCAACATTCAAAATTACTCCCTTGACCCAAGAGACTTAATTGACCTTGCCTGTGAAATTCAATAACCTTTGCTGTTTTTATTCTCTCTTTTTTCATGCTCTTTTCTTTTAGTATAGCTATATCTTGTGTGATTTTTTTTCTTGAAAGAACTAAATACCAAATCAAGGATGTTTTGAAGAAGAAAGACAGGGTTATGTGGCACTAACAGCGTTAGTTAAATGATTTTGTTTGCATAAAATTTACTTCATCTGTTGGATTCTTGGTTATTTAATTTGCCTAGAAGCCTTGAAGGTATATGCATATTATTTTTCTCTACTAAAGGAAAACATCAAGATCCTTTTTCAGATGCAAGTCATTACAGACTTACCTAATTCCGTTTTGCAATTTAATATAGTTATATCTCACTGAAGTTTCACCAAAACAGGAAAAACCTCTTCGATATTTGTTTTTGCAATTATAAAAGTATTCAACTTCTTCATATGATTATAAAGGTTTCTGGTATTTGTTATTGGGCTCTAAAACCTAAAAAATCTATCAGGACAAAAATTCTAACAATTGACTTTTGATTTCAGCAAGCCAGTGGAACCTGATCGCCTTTTTGAATGCTTACCAAACTCTCTACGGCCATCTGGGCAAAATGATGGTGGTGGCAAAAATCATACTGAAAAACAAAAAATGGAAACTGTCACTTTCACACTTCCCACCCTCATTCCACCCAGAGTTATACCTTTGCTACATGATTTAGCACACCAGATGGTTCAAGCTGGCCATCAACAACAGCTCTTTCGAATCTACAGGTAGTGATGTTCCTCTCTTTCCATATAATTAGATGACCAAGTGGTTGCCTGCATTATGTCTGAAGCTAAAGACATATTTGATCATTCTTTCAAATTTGGATTATGATATCAAACAAGACTTACATGTTGTTCTTTAGGTGTTGTTGGTACTTTTTATCAATTAAAATTAGAGTTTTATTTTAATAAAATATTTATAATGTTATCACAGATTACCGAGACAAGTCTCAAATTTTGATTGGTAAACAACACCAACAACGCTTAAGGAACTATACTTTAGTTTTGTCCTTGTGATAACTATATTCTAAATTTGTAGAGACACCCGTGCTGCAGTCCTGGAACAGAGTCTTAGGAAGTTAGGTGTAGAGAGGCTAAGTAAGGATGATGTTCAAAAAATGCAGTGGGAGGTTCTGGAGGCTAAGATTGGGAATTGGATTCATTACATGAGGATAGCTGTAAGATGAATATGAAATCCTTTTTCTATCTGTTCTGTTTTGGGCATGCAACTTTTTAATTTTACATGAACAGGTCAAATTGTTGATTTCTGGGGAGAAGAAAATATGTGATCAAATATTTGATGGTGTGGACTCTTTGAAAAGTCAATGTTTTGCTGAAGTCACTGCCAGTAGTGTGGCTATGCTTCTTAGTTTTGGAGAGGCTATTGCCAAAAGCAAAAGGTCACCGGAAAAACTATTTGTTCTTCTAGACATGTATGAGATAATGAGAGAACTTCAACCAGAGGTATTGTGAAGTTTATATCACAGGAATATGTCTTTCCAGAATTATGTATATCACTTAGGTTGTCCGAGTTTTCATTCTCAAACAAACATATGGACACTCTTGGGATGACGATTTGAATTTGTGATTGCTCAGTATGATTTGAAAATTTGTTATTTGAAGGATAGCTTGTGAATTATGTACATCACTTAGGTTGTCTGAGTTTTCTTTCTCAAACAAACATATGGACACTCTTGGGATGACGATTTGAATTTGTGATTGCTCAGTATGATTTGAAAATTTGTTATTTGAAGGATAGCTTGTCAGAGTCCAGAAGTTAAGAAATCTTCCTTCACTAGGGACAAGAAAAGCATAGAGAGGAAAGAGCAAGTGGAAACACTACACAATGCCTTGCAAATAACTCTTTTTGATGTAGATGTGTGCTGACATTATTTGATAAGAAAGAATTGATCTTTGATTCTCTGAATTATTATTATTGCTTCTCTTTTACATTTACATAAATTTAGTTAGTACATTGATTATACTTGTTTTCTTTGTGTGTAATTGTGTTTTTTTCTTGTTTTTATCTTTTCTTTATTTTGGATGGGGTTGGTACATGATGCAGATTGAGAGAATTTTTGAAAGTAAAGCTTGCACTGAAATGCGGGAAGCTGCAATGAATTTAGCAAAGAGACTAGCTCAGACAGCCCAAGAAACCTTTGCTGACTTTGAGGAAGCAGTTGAAAAAGATGCCACCAAAACTGCTGTAATGGATGGAACTGTCCACCCTCTCACTAGCTATGTGATCAATTACGTGAAGTTTCTTTATGAGTGAGTGATTCTGATATTTTTATTTCTGACTTTCCGACAGCTACTTTTTCTTCAATTGTGTGTGATTGTGTATATCCTTTTCCAAAATATATTATTAGGAACACCAATAACAAAAAATTTAATGGAATAATTCCTTTTTGTTGGTGTTTCCTACAAGGTTGTAACTTCTGACAGTTGAGCCAGATGCCATTCACATTGTTACCCCAAATTTTTCCCACATTGTACCTTACTGTCTTTGCAAATTTTACCATCTCAATGTGGATGCTGAATGTGGGCAGTTACCAATCCACTCTGAAACAACTGTTTCAAGAGTTTGATCCCAGTGATCCAGAAGCACAATTAGCAGCCGTTACGACAAGAATTATGCAGGCTCTCCAGAATAACCTGGATGGAAAATCAAAACAATATAAGGATCCAGCGTTGACCCAGTTGTTTCTTATGAACAATATCCATTATATTGTGAGATCTGTGAGAAGGTAAGTTGTTAGTTTTCCCTTTTCGCCCATATAGTATTGTAAGATGGAGATTCCATCCAGGGTTAATTCCATTTTGCATATTGTACTTGCAGGTCAGAGGCAAAGGACATGTTGGGGGATGACTGGGTGCAAATACATAGACGAATTGTACAGCAGCATGCAAATCAGTATAAAAGGATCTCTTGGGCAAAGGTTAATTTCTTTAAACTTATTAAACTCAAGTAAGCACGTTGAATTATGTATGTCTTGCTGGAAACAATCTGGTTTTTGGATTTGATTTGCAGTACTAAATATACGCTACAATCTAACAAGGAGTCACCTTCAACACACAACAAACATTAAACTATTGAATGAATACTACCCTTCACACCCTATACACATAAAACACAACAGAATAATCGTCACATAAATCCATGACTGCATATAAACAAAAGTACTACACAAATGTTGATAATCCAGGCCTAGTGGTCTCAGTCTGCTTCTGTTTCTTTCTCAGAAATTTTCCAGGGCCTGCCTGGGGCATGAACAACAACCTTGCCATCAAGGCTGAAACGAGGAAACAGCTGTATCCATTATCTGATTCAGTTGACACCAAAGGCTCCAACAATTCAGCAACTTTAATTTTCCCCTCTTGTATTTCATTATCGTCTTCCCCCTGAATTGACACCCTCAGTTTACTCTCTGGACACATATTTAGGGCCCAAACTGTTGGCCACATTGAAAACAACGACTATCTCTTACTCTTGTTATGGCAAATGTTATTGTCCACTGTTTCTGAACTGAGAAGGTCAATGATTACTTGCAGCAAGACTGGTTCTAGTCTACTAGATTACCCAACCGATGCCATTGCCCATGGAATTCTTGATTGATGACGCTGGCAGCTCTTGGGCTTTTGGGTATAACCCGAATGATCTGGGTTAACCGTAGAAGATGAAACCGGTCTGACCCAACAAGTACACATTCTGCACCAAAGGTTTTGGTTCATTCTGTAACTGTCCCTAATTCACTTCACCATTCTGTCCAGCCACACATCATGTCTTTCTCCTTAACATTCAACTTCTATGGGGGTGTGTGTTAGGACTCTATCCCTTTAAAAAAGAAAAGAAAGGACTTATATTGAATGATGAGGAAACAGTACAGAGACCCGCAATCAGTAAACACTGATTTCCCAGAGCTATGCTCCTGCAGAGAAAGTATTCTCTGTTCCTAAGACTGGAATTAAATTCTCCATACCCTCGAGGCCCCCCCTAGCTATTCTATAAATAGGAACACTAAGAGATAACAATTCCTAGAAAAAAGGAAGAGATAACGATTCCTAAACAAAAGGGCTAACAAGATAACCAACTAAATAACAACTAGATAAGTTCTTAATAGAAAAACAAACTGATAAGATAAAACCAAAAAGAGAAGATAAAATCCTAAGATAAACATCAGTAACTAAATTCCCTTGAAAGGTGCATCTTTATCCTCCTTTGTTCCTTGATCTTCTCGTATAAACTTTCAAAATAGGAGGCCTGATATTCTGAGTGGTGGTTCTAACAGTGTGCAAGACTGATTGCCTTTGGTACATCTTCAGTTAATGAGTTCTCGCCTTTCCTCAAACAACATTGCTCAATCCCTTCGTAAAATACCCCAAAGCCTACTACTATGTTATTTCAGGCAATTGAACCAACATTTCAAAACCCTGCTCATAATCCTCAATTCACCCCATTCGATATATGGCTGCAAGTTGTTAATCGGGATTTTCAGTGGTAAAACTTGAAAATCAATTCAATAATTCTGCCTTCACTTCAGAGTCTTCTAATTCTTATTCGGTAATCTCTTCCTTAAATTCTAAGTTAATGAACAACACAATCCTCCACGCAAACTAAGGCCAACAACAACTTCATTTTTCATCGGGTATTTTGAATTTCAAAGAATTTCTCATCCCTAGCCAACCATCGAATGGGATCTGTTTCGTCATACCAGACAATTCAACCTTCTTGATTGCCTTCTCAAGTGCTTTAGAAGAACCATCTTCAAAATTGGTTGAATGGGCATCCAAAAGCTCAGTGTCACGTGGTTAGGGAGTTTAAGAATGACTAGAGCTTCCTGCAACCTGATTATCGATCGTAGGAGTCTTTCGCTGCATAAATTCCTTTAGCAAAGATCTTATTTCATCCTAACTGTCAATTTTCTGCTCCATCTCCTCAAAGTCCTTTCAAATATCCTCCACTAAATTCCCATTCGTCTTAACCGATGGTGGTTAGAATTGAATCTGTCTTTCTTCATTCAATTTACAAATATGCTCCATTTAGTTCTCCAAATAGCATTTTATTTTTGAATTGCTAATTTAGAAATTTGCATTACTTGATTTTTTTATGATCTTATGTTAATTCATTACTCAATGTGTTATATTATATATATATTAAAAAAAAACATATACTTAATTATTACCTTTCGGTTATTATAGTTTAACCAATAAATTATATGCTACTTCCTTCACCAATTCAATAATTTTCATAACATTGAGACTAATTTGTAGGCTTTGTTTGATGTCTCAGTGACACTTTGTTCTAAAATAAACAAGTTGCTCTTCTGTTATGTATAGATGTACTAACTTCAGTATTGTAATTGTGATACTATAGATAGATGATGATGATGCTAATCCAAATCATTTTTGTAATTCACTCGCAAGTCTGTGTGATGATGGTTTTATTAAAAGAGAGTGCTATATGATCCTGCAGATTTTGCAGTGCCTCACTGTTCAAGGAGCAAATTCTTCTGGTGGAGGGGACAGCACCAGTGGAGTCTCAAGAGCAGCGATTAAAGATAGGTTCAAGACCTTTAACACTCAAATTGAGGAGCTTCATCAGAGACAATCTCAGTGGACTGTTCCGGATAGTGAGTTGCGTGAATCTCTTAGATTGGCTGTTGCTGAAGTCCTGTTGCCTGCCTACAGATCTTTCCTTAAACGTTTTGGGTACGTTTCAGTAAGGCCTTTTTTTACTTTTCGGATTTCCAATTCTCTCATAAAAATTTTATCCTTTACATGGCGTTTTACATGAATTTTTAATCTTTCAGGCCCATGATTGAGAATGGAAAAAATCCTCAGAAGTACATCAGATACTCTCCCGAGAATCTTGAGCAAATGGTGGGGGAATTTTTCGAGAGCAAGACGTGGGGTGAACAGAAGCGGTGAATAGTTGCGTTGAATCACTTCCCTTTGTGTTATTGTTTTGGAAACTTAGGTATTTATTAACCATTGGTCAATAATATAGACAAGTTGTCTTTCAGTAGTACTCAAATTTCTTTGTTTTCCTTTCCTTTCAGGCTTCCATCTGTTAATTTTTCCTGTCTTGCACTAGTAGACACAGTTTTTACTCGAACCTGTGTCCAGGACCAGGAACGGAGGTTAGAAAATTTTTGTTGCGGAGGCCAAATATATAAAATATTACTAAAAATTGATTAAATTAAAAAAAAAATTAATCATACATTATGTCCTACAAAAAATAATGCACAATTTTTTATTCTTAGTAATTTTTTTATTCAATTTTTGTCCTCTAATCTGTATCATGTTCAAGATAGAAGATAATGTAAAGGAGTTCAAAGCTAGAAAGTTGAATAATTTTACATCAAAGGTGATGTTAAGGTTTTAAAGATAATACAAATTTTATATAATTTTGGGTTAAATATTATAGAAATTAAAATTTTAAAACATTAATCAAATTTAAATCATTTGAAGCCTAAATTTATTTTTATAATAAAAAATAAAAATTATAATTAAACTAAAAAGATATTAATTAAATATATACATATAAAATCTAAATTTTATGATTCCATAAGAGAGAGAAGAAAAATGTAAATTACAACGCAGCACCTATAGTTGAAAAAGTTAAAACTTAACATGTACAACTATACTTACTAGTTATTATAGCAAAACTACCAAAAACAGCCTCTCGCCCGGTCCTTGGGGGTATAGTCTAGTTGGTTTCCCATTTGTGTACTATATATGCATGAATGTGTGTAATATGCATAATTCAATAAAATTGTATGAGAAGTACCTGAGAACGCATTGCAACTAATTAATTTAGCTTTAATCATGGCTGCTGCAAGTTTTCAAGTTGAATCCAGGGTCAATTGGGCAACTCACCCTTACACCTTCATACCCATTCCTCACTCTCACGACAATGACAATGACAATGACAACGCCATAGAGCAAACACTTGAATGTGACGAGTTTTGTGGCACTCCTTGGCGAATTGTTGGAACCACAGTGGGCTTGGTTGCACTTGTTCTATTCTGCCTCATGATTCCCATTCACATTGAACACAACTTCACCGCAAATTCTAATCCCTCCCCACCAAGATTTTTTCTCCATTCCCTACGTGTCTCCACCTTCAATATCTCTGAAGGAGAGCTATCAGCCACTTGGAATGTTGACCTAACCATCTCTACCGGTGACAACTCAACGTTCATTAACTTTCTCAACTTTGAGGCCCAAATGTGTACAATGAAGAAAAAGTCCTAGCGATGAGTGCTCCAATTCAATCAGAGGAATATTCATTAGTCACACGTGGGATTTTTGTTATGGATGAGAATGAGAACAAAACGTTGCATTTGACTTTCAATACTACGGGTTGGGAGATGGATCAACCTGTTGTGGATGATGATGTGATTCGTGAGATTGGTGAACAGATGAAAATGGGAGTTGTCAGTTTTGGATTAAAAATTATGGTGGAAGCGGAAATCAATTATAATTTGATGAATGTACCCAGGACCATGCATCCTTATTGTTCCAATTTAGATGTTGATTTAGAACCGTTGGAACGAGGTGAGGTGGCAACAATGGACGATGTTGGCGAGGCTATAGAGTGCTTAGACCATGTAGATAACTGGTATATGGACAAATTAGAAAATTAATTGAAAGAGTTCTGATCGAGTGTCCCTTCAGTTAAAAGTTTCAATTTTGATGTAGAACAACAACGAGGGTGATAAATTGCGACTTTGCCAGCAAGTAGAAAAATGTAGCCACGGGTTTCAGTTCTTATTTATTTACTGGTAAATTCTATTGTGTCCAGCAATTTCAGCGACGAACAAAGCCCATAATTTTATATTTAAAAGTTTATTAGATATATTTATTTGCTCAATTATCATTAGTTCTTTTAGATTCTATGGATGAATAAATTTCAAAGAGAAACTAACTGAATTAGGGTGTAATTATGTTCTCTACCACAGTTTATTAAATTTTTATTTATTATCTTACATTTGGATGCAATTTTTTTTTATTTTGTTTAACTTGTATAATATTACACATAATAAAAAAAATTATATGCAATAAATTTTTTTAAAAATTATATAATTTAATATAAATGTATTGGTGATATTAAATACTACAATATTTAGTAAAAATATTCTATTTATTGATTTTTTTTTATCATGTATAATGTTGCACAAGTTTAAAAAAAATATTTTTTAAAAGTTTATTTAGAGTTGTTATTATTTTATTTTATTTAGAATTTTTTTCATAAAAACACTAATAAATAGTCTAGAAATATATTATAACCATATTAAATTACATCATAAAATGAATAAATAAATTAATAAGCAAAAAAAAAGAAGGAAATCACAACATTTTAATATAAAATATTGCAATTTAGTTTCTTTAAGATAGAACTTATCAATCCTAAATTTTGAATTGCTCGAACTAGAATTGAAACAGTGAAATGGTATTTAAATTTGTCAATCCGCATAAAAATAACACTCTATTTCCTGTTTAATTACTTGTGCGATCTGGTCTACTTGTCAAAATAGTATCTCAATAGCAACTTAGCAAGTGAGGGGGGCAACAATATAAAACTCAAAAATATAAGAAAAATAATAATAAAAAGGTGCAAAGGTACTTAAAAGAATACAAAAAATATAAGGACTAAAAAATATTTAAACCATTATTTTATTATTACTAATTTGTCACTTGATTTGGCAATAATCAATTTCAGTCCATACTTTAAAAAATAGCCTATGTGAAAAATTCATTTTTTAATTTAGAGGTTAAGTCAATATTTTAGGTTAAAATTAATCAGTAAATATAATTCATAAAAAAATTTGAGATACTCCCATATCATTGAAAACAATTTCATAGAGACAGTTTCTCAAATTGCCATAACAAATGCTACATATAAATAAATGGTTAATTACATGATAATTTTTAATTTTATCATACAAATAACAAATGTATTTCTGAAAAGATCCATTTAATATGTTTTGCGATGATTAATGATCATTATTAATATTACAAATAATTTATGGGAGAATCATTAATCAATCACTTTAAAGAGTTAGAGAAAGAATAAAAAAAACAAGGTGGTGTTATTTTGTAAGTCAGTTAATAATTCATTTATATTAATTATAATTTTGTTAATAAAATTTTAAAACTAAATTTATTGTTGATAATTAATGAAAAATTATTAAGTCAATAAAAGATTAAAAACAGATAATAGAATTCGTAAGAAACCAAATTTTCCTAATAATATTCCCACAATAAAATGTTTGTAAATCAATTTTTTTAATTACAATCAATAATTATGATGATTGTGTATTCAAACAAGTTGTAATTGAAGTAATTGCGGTAAAAATTCCAACAATATTAATTACAATAAAAATTCTAAATTGTTAATTACAATGATACTTTTTTTATTGTAATAACAAAATTAACTACTGTAATGTAGAAAAATAAGATTAAAAAACTAATTATAGTTGGATAGAAAAGAATAGCCTTATGCTATATTACTTTAGATATTAAGATATAAGTACATATAATAAAAGGATAAAAATAAAAGTGTACATATTTTACTGCGTTAATACAATAGAAAGATCCACTTATTTATATATCAGGGTGAAATAAAGAAATACAATAAAGTGCAATAAACCAAAATTTTTAAAACACAATCAATAACTATAGTAATTATATACATAATCAAGTTATAATCAAAATAATTAATTACAATAAAAGTACTGACCAAATTAATTACAATAACAATATTAATGATACTAATTGTAATAATATTTTTATAAGAATAAAATTACCACTTTAATATATATATATATATATATATATATATATAACAAAAATTACAAAATTAACTTACTACATTTGGCTTCGTATGCTCAACTCACCAATCCTTTCAAATATAATCCGATGTGATTATTTTTACACACAATACATATAGAAACAATCAAACCTTACCATCATCACACGTTTCTATCAATCTAAATTTGCTTCTTTCCTTATTTTCATTACCAAGAAATTTTTCTCATTGTCTTTTCCATGGGCAACCGATAGAACATATATTTCCATTCATCACATTGCCTCGCCCTCTCTCTCATTGCTTCTCTCTCCCTCTTTCACCATCACCATCACCATCATCATTGGGAGAGAGAGAACAAATCAAACCAAGAAAAAAAGAAAAAATCACCATCACCACCCTCGCCATGGCTTCTTCCTCCAACCAAGAAAAAAGTGACAATTGCCAAACAGAACCACCACTCACAACCCATTCCCCAGACAAACACGCCGACCCAGCATCACCAGCCACCACATACTCCACCCATCCACCACCGTACCCGCCGCCACACCCAATGTGTTACCCGCCAACCGGTTACCCCACCGGCCAAAACCCCAACCCCTACGCATACCCGCAAGGTTACACCTCATACCCAACCGGTTACCCCGGTTACCAATACCCTCCCAACGCCCCTTATTACGGTCCCCCTCCCACCCCCCACACCTCCAGAGCCGGTACCCGGTTCTACCGAAGCTTCATTTTATGCTGTTGCACAATTCTCACGTGCCTTTTTCTCGCAAGCTTCATCATAGCTTTGGTTCTACGTCCCGAACTACCCGTTTACAAGGTTGTGTCGTTTTCCGTAACAAACTTTTCCACGTCACCAGCCTTAGCTGGCCAATGGGACTCTAAATTGACCATTGAGAATCCCAACGACAAACTCGTGGCTTATTTTTCGGACCTTAAGGTTGACGTGTTGTACAGAGACGCTCTTGTTGATGTTAATTACGCGCGTGGTTTTGTGTTGAATAGGAATGCCAAGGTTGACGTGGACGTGACGGGTTCGTCAAGCGAAGTTGATGCACATATGTTTGAAAAGTCAACGATGGATGAGTTGATCAAAGAGCGAGGCACGGGTTCTGTTACCTTCGCCTTGAAGGTGTCTTCTATGAACGTGTTTAGGTCTGGCTCGATCTCTACGAGGAATGCTGAGGTAGTGGCAATTTGTGAGGGGTTGAAGGTTGTGTTTCAGAATAATAATTCAAATGGAACGTTGGATAATGGGGGTAAACCCATTGAATGCCAGCTTTATGTTTGATATGTGTAGTAGATAGGGTTTAGATCATCTTAAATCATTGAATGTCATGATGATACTATAATGCTAGAGAGAGAAAACCCAAATTTTATCAGATTTTATAATTAATTTGAGAAATTTCTATATTCGTGTCTTTTTCTCTTACAATTTTTGTTTTTCGTTTTGATCTGGTGGAGAAAGGTTACTTGTGTAGAACTGCATTCGGGGTTGTCGTCTAGTTTGCAAATTGAGGATTTAGATAAGAACAAGCTTCTGCCTTGTAGATGTATATAAATATAATTATTTTGTTTGTTACTTTATTTTAAGCAATTTCCTTCTCTCTTTCTGGTGTCATGCTCTCATGATATCATAATTAATTCGTCTGGTTTCAGGCCGAAAATAGTATTGTAAAGTACGAATAAATGAATGTATTGTGTGTCATACCGGCATGAATCATCGAAAAGTAACATGCAGGATGATTAACATAACTTTCTTTTTCATTGAAATTAAAGTAAATCAAAATAGTCTTGCAGGTGCAAACCTGAAGGTTGGTTCACCTGTTTAACCTTGCACTACTATAAAAAGGTTTGATTTTATATAGCACAATATTAAGCACGTGTAATCCCATAATAAGTTTTTGGTGAGTTAGTCTTCCTTAATTTTGTACAGAATAAGTCTCAAGTTCTTCAAATTTTTACAAAAAAATTGAAATAAATGATCATAGTTCGAATTATTTTATTAACTCTTATACAAGTTTTAAAAAAATTCTAAATGAGTACCATGTCTTGGTCTTATATACTAGCTAGGTTGGCGTTTTGATGATTGATTTGGCTGCTACTTAATGACTTGTGTTGCATGCGACTTCCTCATCATTTATCATCTTAACTGGTATATGCCACATTCATATCCCTAAACCACATCCTATCCCCATCCTTCAACCAGATCATTCCTCTATAGAGATCTTATTTCCCACCTTTCAATTCGTCCTGTCTTGTGATCCTTTGCTCCTTTGCCTAGATTTCCACGTGATTCTTGACACTCGTTACAAAATCCACCTTTAAGGGCTCCAAACAATTCATTATCCCTTGACACTATTTTTGGGCACTACACATTCAGATAAAGATCCAATTATTACACGTAATCAAAGAGAAGTTAAAATTGGAAGATCTTAATTTATGGCGAGGAGTTCCAACTCAAGGCTTCTAAAGAGTTGTCTGTGAACTTATCCTTGTTAGTCGTTGTGAAGAGATCATAAAAATTAAGGTTTGTCTTGTTTCGATGATGAATACGTCAATTAGAATTAGGGGGCTGTCTTATGATGAAATGTGTCATTAATACAGATATTTTAGTTTCTGAAATACTATTTCCACAACACCTTTACGATTTTTTCTATAATTATAAAAAAGAATAAATTACTTTAATCTCATTTCTATCTTGCACTTTTTATATAATTTTTTTTATTTTTAAAATCTGCAAAATTTTTCCCTATTTTAAAAATAAATTTTGTTAATCTCAGCCTTAAGATCTGAGATAAGCAATTAATTATGTAAAATTTTATTAAAAATAGAAATATTTATTGTAGTTTTATAATTTCAAGTAAGAGTTTTAAAATATTTTTACTATCAAGCCTTTTTTATAAAAAAAAATAATTCTGTTTCATTTTTGGAAATAAATTTTCAGGTATAATTTTTTTTTAATTTTTATTAACAGGTAATTTTCCTTAAAAAGTGTAAGGTAATATATTTGTTATGATTTTTAAAATTTTATGAAAACGAAATTTGTTGAAATGATTTAATAGCCTGTATTCACTAATATGCAATGAGTTTTTAACATTAAATAGAAAATGATATATTTATTCTTAGATTTTTTTATGAATTTAAAATTAACTATCATACTTAAATTTAAATATAACTAAAGTTAAATTAGATTCATAATATTTAAATAAAATATATAAATTCAAATAATATCATAATTTAAAATTAAAATATTAAAATATAATTATATAGTTAGATATACACGAAAAAAAAAAGAATCGTATTACTATCAAAGTATTTTATTTTATTTTTTGGTTAGGACCTTGGTATGTTAATAATGACTTCTTCTATATTGTAAATTTTTTTTTATTTCAATAGAAAGTTCTAACTTATTTTTTATGCATATAGTTAATTTTTAATTGGCAGTAATTATTTGCTAATAAAGTTATAATACAGTAAAGTATAAAAATTAATTTAAAAATAGATACTTTTAAAAACAATTGTAAGAATAAAAAAATTAATTCATTTCGCTCCGTTTATTATATAAACAATAGAATGATTTTATTTTATTTTCATTCCATCTTAATACATCCAATAATGAAATATGTACTCTATTATGTTACATTTCGTTTCATTTTATTTTAATCTATTTCGTATCACTTCTATCAATCTCGTAATCCTAGACTCCTATTCTTCACGTTCCATGTTTTTCGAGCTTACTATTAAAAATAGGAAGGCTTAGGTCAAAGGAAAAAAAAAGAAAAAGAAAAAAGATTGCCATCAGCCCAAGCCCATTATCCTGACGCAATCCGATCCAAAAAAAGAAGACATCAGCGATGTTGTTAAAAAAACAAGCAGGCGTCAAATATAGGGCATGTGATGGGTTTCTCAGATTAACAAATAAATGTTCACAAAAAAAAAAAAAAAACAATGAGTCAGACTAAATTTATGATCTTAGATATTTATGCTAATTACTGGTAATTATAATTTAATCAGTTTTTTTAAGTACATATCTAAAAGTAAATAACAAAAACCTATATATAATAAGTTTTTATTAAAAATTATAAGATATCATTGAATCTAATATATAAATAACATTAAATATTATAATTTTTAATGCAAATTTATTCTTTATTTATTATTATATGTTTTGAATACAGTTAAAAAACTGTAATTTAATTTCTAGTTTTGCTCAACCATCTAAAAAACTGCAAAACTTGTGAATGAATTGAGAATTATGATTGATAATGTATCATTCAAAAGAATGTTTAACCTTCTGAATCAATATCATTTATTTTAATTGGTATCAAATTTCTTTTGGTAGATAACCGGGGTTTAACGCCAAAACCTTAAAAAAAAAAAAAAACCAACAACCTCGAGGAAACGTTGTACCTAAAAATATCGACTAAGAATTAAAGAAAAAGAAATAAAAGAAATTTAATCAGAACTTTTTCTCAAGTCAAATGATCAGCTCAAGATCAAGTAAATGAACTATGTTAGAAATTTGTCACGCCACTGTTTTGTAATTAAATATTAATGAACTTGCGGTGCACAATTTCAAGACGAATTAACGAAAATACTATTGTTGGGACTACCTTAGGTCGTCGAGCTACATCTTGTTTGGTTTGGATGATAAAGTAGTACTGGTGCTACCTAGTGCTTGTTTTGTTTTGGTGATGTCTTCAATACATGGAAAACGCTTATTGGAAAAGTTGTCATTGCATCACATCAATATTATTATCGTTTAATCCAAGCCTTGATGCCTTCAATTTTTTCGACTAAGTTACATCTAAGCTAAAAAAACACAAAGAAAAACGGGGGAATGGATGCTGACATGAATATGCAAAAGTCTCATCTATTGATTATTTATAATCATTTGTACGTTATATATGATTAGTCTAATTGGAATCATTGACGTTTGGACGAATATAAAAGAAGTAAATGAAAAGAAACCACGATCTATTTTCTTTCATTATCTTCTCCCTATTCGTTGCTTTCCGTTCCACTTTTCAGTTTGGAGTTTTCTCGGGTTCGAAAATTCTTCACCACTCATTCCTTCAACTTCAATTCTGCCCTGTTGCTGCCTAACGCTGTTCTTTTCTGCTTTTCCATTTTTGTCTCTTTTTACTTCACTTCATGTTCACATGCATATGTATCAATACATATTCATGCTTATTTTATGAATAGAAAATCGTTTTAAGTCAAGTTCAAGTCAATATGTAAAATAACAAGTTTTGCTGAATTGTTTAATTTTTAGTGTCTTTAAATTTCATATCTTTTTGAATTTTTTTGTTAGTTATATATTTTATGAAGTTTTGTTGAAATCTTATAATTAAAATATTATGAAAAAAAAATTTATCTTATAATTTAATTACTTTATCAGCTTATATTTTCATATGTTATATTAAAATCCTTACTCGTTTATCGTTCATGTCTCTTAGGTAACTAGTCTGATGAAAAGCCATAAATCATATGCATAGCAAACTCTGAGGTCTCTGCAGTCCATATTTGTTTTTTGGTCCTTTTGCATTCAGTTTGGTAAAGTTTATGATTTATATGTTGACTTGTGCACTTCCACTTTTTGCAGGGAGTGGGGCATTTTCTTTTTATCTTTAATTAAAATTTATAATTTTTGTATTGAGTACGTAACTCTCTAAATAAGTAACTATTTCAAGAGTTTATCGCTTTTTTGCTTTAAAGAAATGGTTTCTATTTCTTATTTTCGTCTACATTAAATATCTCTTGTCTTTAAAAAGTTATTTATTTATTTGTAATTAAAATTTATAATTTTTGGGTATGATTTGAACGTGTTTTTAAGGTCAAGGCTAACCTATAGATATTTTTCACCCTCAACCACATATTTTGAACTAATTAATTTAGAGTCTAAATAATTTTTTAATTAATAAAAAACATATTTTAAAAAAATATTTTAGGGCCGGTAAAGCTGGCCCTTCCTCTAAAACCCTTTTGACTGCTCCAGTAAATTAAATGAGTAGGCGAAGAAAAAAAGAAGGAAAAGTAGGGAAGTTGGTGGGAATTTGAGAGGTTCGAAGAAGAACTTGTGGGGACTTGATGGGTTCAAACAGTGACACAATAAACTGAAGCTGTGGATGAGAATAGCATCATTCTCATTCCTCAATGTCAGTGCAAGTGCATGAACGCAAACTCTAGGATCTATCCGTGTTCTGCAATGTACACTGCTGCCTCCGCACATCACGCCATCCACGTGCACGTTCAATACATCGCCCTTTCAATTTTATTTTATTTTAT